GTGACTTCGTCCCCATGACATAAAAAAAATATAATAAATACATGGCTGTGTTACTCACTGATGTAGCTTTTAACGGGGAAAGAATTTTTGAAATCGGCTCAGTAGTTTTTCAGTTATTTCAATACGTACAAAAATAAAAATCTTTTAGTTAATAATATTAGTATAGATACGAAAGTTTAGATGGATGTTTGTTAGAGTTTATAGCCTAAGCTGCTAAACGGTTTACGATTAAATTTGGTACAAATGTGAAGGTTATTTTGAAAGAACACGTAGGGTCCTTGTTTTTTTTTAATACAATGTAGTCGGAGTCGCGGACGAAAGCTAGTAGTATGAACCGCGAAAATAGTAAACGGTTACAAATTAAAAATAAGTAAAAGATAGAGAGCAAAGTTGAAAGTGTATTTTAGAATTAAAAAGCTTTTAAAATAGTTTTATCAAACAATTTCATTAACGCTTTGTAGAAAATTCACTAAAGAATTTAAAATTGAATACGCTTTGACTTTGGCAAAGAGAATACTTTCTAGATTTTTTAAACCTTTACAAAGGACGGTATACATTTTAATCATGTATGTGTTTTTAATATATTTTACAATAATTTATTCAGTATTCTTGTTTTAAGAGCAATGTTATCAGACGGGTTACATGTAATTTTAAAAATAGATACAGTATTATTGTAAACTAGCGACCCGCCCCAGCTTTGTCTGGGTAAAAAATATACATACATCTCACTTTCCCATCATGTCCACCCATCTTTTGATGTAAAATATAGCCTAAGTAGTAAGTAAGTAGTCTATGTTTTCTTCTAGATTTTGCTCTACGTCTATGCCAAATTTCATCGAGATCCGTTCAGCAGTTTAGGCTACAAACTCTAACAAACATCCATTTAAACTTTCACATTTATAATATTAGTAAGAAGTAAAGTGTTAGTTAATATACCTGTCTATTGGTATAACAATTTTGAAATAAATTCACTGATTTCTGAGCCACTTAAATACCAACAAATAAATAATAACATTTATAATATAAATTAATTGAACATGATAGACTTTCCAATTCAATTTCCAGAAATCAGTTTAATTGAACAAATTGGATTCTCCGCAATTAATTGCAAAAACTCATACGAGATCGCAATTTAAAAAAACAACATCCGCGTTTGTTGGAAATAATGAATTCTTTTCATTGAAGCTGCGGGTTCAATTTACTTGAAGCACTGGGTTATAGCTTGGTTAATTAAGATGTGGGTACGTCTCTGCAAGACTTAATTATTACAGTGTAAATGTACCCTTACAATATAGGTTATTACTAACTTTCACCCTCGACTTCGTCCGTACGGAATTATAAAAACAATTTAATAAGTAGTGTTCTATATCTATGTCTAATTTCTTTGAAATACTTTCAGCTACAAACTCTAACATACATACAAATTATCACTTTTAAAATATTAGTAAGAAGTACGATTAATGTCAAATTTAGATTTTAAATTTAATTCTCAGTCAAACTTTAACCATCTGCCCATTGTTTGTATTTATATAGTTATGAGCTGTTGACCGCGACTTCGTCCGCGTGGTATTAGAAACCATACAAACTATATAAATTACAAAAATCTACGTATCCCTCGGGAAGCTTATCCCATGTGTACTCCAGACTTTGTTTTATATCTGTGCCAAATTTCAATAAGATATGTTGAACCGTGGCAGAATTTTCGAGTAAACATTAAAAACTAAATTAATGAATCCCACGGGAACCGTAACTATTCCAGGGATTGCTCTAAACCTGTGCCAAATTTCATGTAGATCCGTTCAGCAGTTTAGGCTACAAACGCTAACAAACATCCATCCATCTATCCATCTAAACTTTCGCATTTATAATATTAATAAGATTTGCGAACTATAACAATTTCATTCAGCGATTGTTTACCAAAATACGTGATAATTTTTTCTTATAAAAGAAAGACCAAGGTCAAGTGTAACTCTAAACGAATTATTTAGCATAAATCGTTGTGGGAATTAAAGAGAAGAAAGTGTATAATGTTTGTTTGTTTGTATGTTCTTTGTATTCGCTACACGTAAGGTCCGGAGTGGACTTTCACTGCGGGCTGTTAGCCGACACATTGTGATAACATCGCTAAATGTTGAGAATAATAAAGATTACAATCTCTAATAAGATTTTAAGACACAAAATCTTGTATTTAAACTTCAATTCGCCCCAAAAATATAATTAGATACTGTTGATTGTTTTGTTTTAATTCGATTTAACATACATATTTATCACCACATTTCAGTGTAGTTAAGTTCTTTTTTCTTTAATTTCAATAATATGCAATAGTGCGCTTTTATCAAAATATACGCGAAAGGCGCTAGAGTCGCGGTACAAAAAGTTCTACATATGTTTAAGCTAAAATATACTTGAAATACTTACTAAGTATTTCAAGCTTAGCTTAGAGAATAAAACGATTTTTTTCTTAATTCTATATTAAATACTTTTAATGTTAAATAATTCTAAAACTGTATTTTGACGTTTAGTTTACCATATTTTTAACAGGTTAGTAAATTTAGTATTTATGAATACAAAGTAACAATAAGCAAACAATAATTGACTGATCCAGTCAACACCGCAATATCCCAACTGGTATAAATTACACGGTATCGACCAACTGGGGCATTGTGATATCCTACGTGCGGAATTTACCACCGTTTTTTATACAAGTTAGACGTAATTGTTGTAACAACTCTATGTTATGTTAATATTTAAGATAACATGTGATTTTTGTAGATATATGTTACATTTACATTCTAGGAACTATAAATGCATATCTATAGAATAAATTTAGCATATATATGGCACATTAATATTGAGGTGTTGAAATAAAAATAATAAAAATCATTGGTTTAAAATATTCCTTATTGATTTTTTATATGATTAATGAAATAAGCTACTATTATGTACTCAGAGTGGTTAAGTAATGTCTATTTTAGTTAAGTTTTATAGTAAATCATACTAAGGATCTTACTTAATCGCCAATTAAAGAAACTAAAGGGGGAATATTTAAACGCCAACTTTTCTACATTGTTCGATGTCATATCTATCAGTTTCGATCTTTAGGCTACCTGCAATACCAAAACCCGTTAATTTAAGTTTATCGTTCTCTTTATAGCCAATTTCCGTCCGTCATTCAAAACTTTACCGTACAGACAGGATTTCTTAATTAAAATGGATCTTTTAAAACTGACCAATCGAAAAAAAAACTTGAAAATCCATTAAAACAGAAGATGTTACTTTAGAAACAAAAATAAATAAATAAAAAAGTTATACAGCATTGGTATATACCACAAACTCATCTAATATTACGTGAGGGTTCTAACACAGATGGTCAAGTGGAATAGCTTAGTGTTCACACCTCTCAAAACCACCGCAATTTTTTATATTAAGGGGACATTAACTACGCATTTGTACAAGTATTCAATTTGAATGCTTTCAAGTTGAATAAAGTCGTTTGAATATTCAAAATTTCTTTTTTTTCTCCTCTTTTCTTGCATTAAATTAATATCTATACTTATTATAATAAAGCGTAAACACACACTTCTTTGTTGCCTAAGATGTCAGCAATTACTGCATATTTTTAAATAATTATTTTTTAATAAAAAGCCCTACACTTACGTCACGCTTTAGGCTGTAAATTTTCACGCCATTAAACTTAGGGGGTAAATATTTTGGATAAATACCCTAATGTGGGAAAGAGACCATAACTGCTAACATCAAGAAAGGGGGATTGCTAAGGTTTGTCTTGTCATGTCATTTTGCCATTTGCAATTGATAATTTGACAAATGTGAATAAAATGATATTTTTAAAATTTTGTGCGGATGAATTCGCATGGGAACAGCTAGTTATAACATAAAATATTTTATCAAGAGACATTTAAACTAAAAAAGCTGACATGTTCTAGAATGTTTTATTTACTATAGTTAATTCGAAGTTAGGTTAACAGAATTCATTCAAATTAACTTTTCTAACATAAAAATTGAATTAACAGCTTAGCAGTTTAAATATCTCCAGACGTATATGAAAATCGTAAGTCTTGTAATTATAAATTTAATGATCCTATAGATAAAACGCAGTCAGCCTCCGTCAAGTAAGGAGGTTCTGATGGTCGTCTTTTGTTCAACACACAGGCTGACATCCTTTGTCCGTATACCAATACTTAGATATGTGAAGAAATGCCAGTGAAAATCACCCACTAAGATGAAAGACCTTTTGAAATATTCACTTTTAAATTGGGATAATTCAAAATTATACAGATTTTCTATCTCTTTAAACATAAGCAAACAGTACAGTTTTATTTATTTATACAATTTACTAAGTAAGTAAATAATTCCACAAACCAATCGTAGTTATTTTGTTTCGACAAATATTTCATTACAAATTATACTTTTGTTATAAGTAGAAATATTAAAAGCTTTGAACTTGGACTGTTAAGACCATTGCTAATAAGAGAAGAGTGAAGATAAAAGTTCGAAGCATTTTGGGTTTTAATTAATAAAAATATGTTAATTGGTGCTAAGTCAGGAGGTCAGTGGCCCTGATATTTATGGCCGCCGGTGACTGATAAGGGTATTACAGTTTCTATAGAAGTGTAGAGAGACTTAATGAGCCCGATGCGCTTCGGAACTCGTTTTAGCTTCGAGGCATTAGAATTATAAATAGACTTCGATTTATTTTTATACCAACATTCCCTTTTTATTAAAGCCTACTCAAACCTTCTTTTGTTTTATAATATTTTTAGTTTTTTTAATCGAAATCATTTTTTTCTGAATTAAAATGCAATGTATTTTTAAAGTCTAATAATTAAAGTACTACTTAAAAAAGTTTAAGTTAATTTCTTGAATAAAAGCTCTTTGTAAGCTTACCGCTTAACTTAATTTTAAATACAAATGTATACGTAAAATATTTTTTCCGACATTAAAATACGTAAAAGCTTTCACTAGAAATATTCTCAACTTACTTGAACTTAATTCACCGAAGCACAGGTTTGTTCACAACACTTGCGGCCAACTTTAAGTTAGTTCACACGGGACACGCGTACCCACGGGCGGCCGGAGCGAGACTGAGCCGGCGGTCCTCTCCACCAGCTAATATATCTCGTATACTAGTTGCCATCGTCTTTCACTGGTGGCTTCGCCGCAGACACTTTCTGGGTTAATGAGAACTCCGGTGAAGCTGGCCAAAGAACGTTTTCTAAGCATTTACGAAGCACGCCTTGGGATGATTTGAACACGATTCCTCCATTCCTCTGTAGCTCTGGTACTCGTTAGACGGTAAAATCGCAACAACTAAACAAATTAAATACGAACTTAAAGACAATAATTTATTATTTATATGCTACTTTTCTCTAAAGAAAGTTCAAATAATTTTCCTTGCACTTTAAGTTCTTGTGAGTTAAAACTTCCTAAGTATTGAGAAAACTTTAACTGGTAAATAAAATTCGATTAACATAGTGAAATATTTTAACATAAAACATACCCAAAATCGTGCGAATATTACCATAAAAGCAGAGAACTTTGGAAAAATAATAACTTGTGTGGTTTTCCTGGAAATACTAAGTGAAAAAAGCTCGACATTTTCATGCTATATACGTTTCCTAGTGTTGATAAAATCACTTAATTCTGCCCATCCTATTGGTGCTTAATGTAAGCCGTGATTACTCTAAGTGAAAGTTTATTTGCAAGTTCAAGTACGTTGCGAATAAATCCCATACGTGCAGTTTTCCCTGATGTACAAAAATTTACTTTCGCTAATTTTATTTAGAACTGAACTATAAGTGTAACTTAGTTACGCTGTTAAAACACGCGAACTTACCCCGGTTTTACTTTATTTAAGAAGACGAAAACAAATACATTAAAATTATATCAATTTTAAGGTAATAACGGAGTAATAGCTCAGTTTGTTGATTTTTACTTTATATTTTCATTATATTAGAGTATTGAAAATTATACTTTCTGACAATTACTTAAGATTCAAATTTAAACGAAACGCAATCGAAAACAATCGATCTCGTTTTATGATTCTTTTAAATTGAACATTTTAAAAAACTCCATCAAAGAGACAGTAAAAATGCATAGTTCATACTAAAGTTTACGATATGAAACGCGTCGTGAAAAATTCTTGTTAATATATAGTTAATTTAAAAATTAACTACGTTCCTGCTCTTCCCATAAACTAAGATAAATACCACATTCACTATACGAAGGCATAGTTATGTAGATTTCAATCATCTCACTAATATTATAAATGCGAAAGTTTAAAAAAAACATACAGACGAATTGAGTCCCTCCTTCTTATGGGAAGTCGGTCAAAAAGGATGGATGCTTGTTAGAGTTTGCCTAAACGACTGAACGGATCTCGATGAAATTAGGTATAGAAGCAGAAAACTATTTGAAAACACGTAGAATACCTTCTTTTGTTTTTTTTTTTAATATTAGTCGGACGGAGTCGCGGCCATGAGCTAGTTAGTATTAAAATAAACGCAGAAGTTTTGATGGATGAATGTTTGTTACGTATTTCAATAAACGCTTAGCGAATATTACTGAAGTTTGCAAAGATGTGGGGCAAAATTAACACACAGAACACAATCATATTACACTTAGAACCTTTTAAAGGAAGGATGGGAAAGTAAAGTGGTTTTGTCGGGGAGTGAAACGTAAGGAAAGGGGGATTATCCTCTTTATATTCGTCTCCTCCGTCAATTAAGGGTAGGCAAAGCATCTGCAATTGCGGATGTATTAGCAGCGGTCACTTCGCCATGTTGTCAGATTCTAGTCGCCACTTGCTCCTTTACCACCTAATGATATAAATAATCTTTTCTATATTTTTGTTCAACAATTATGTATGTGACAAAAATTGTCTACAAATAAAACTAGAGTATATAATATGCTATCACAATATGTCAACTTGTCTAACTTTCTACGAGTGGTTATAGTTGTTTTGTTTTGTTATTTATCTAATTTAAACGCCTGTCAACTTTCAATGTTAAAATATAATTAACATTATTTGTGGCTCGATGTATTTTAACGTTGTAATTTATTACAATAACCTAACAACGTTTATATTCGTTTCTATACATATAATAAAATTGGAGTGTCTGTTTGTAATATCAAAAGGAAGATTTCGGGAAGATGATGAATTTGCGTTGCTGATAACGAAAATTCTGTCTGTCTGTCCGCAAGCCGCGTTTGTTCCGGGTAATCTTCGAAACGGCTGGAGAGATTTTAACCGGACTTTAACTGAAGGATAGCTGATAGAGACGGTCATATTATAGGCTACTTTTTTATCTTAATATTGCGTGGACAAAGTCGCGGGCAACACCTAAAACAAAATTCTGTAAATAACAAAAAAATCCTTTATTGCACAAATTTTTACTTCTTAGTGTTGTTTCAGTGAAAATCCGCGATAATAGCACTAAAAAATAAACATCTAAAACTAGTCTTGAAGTCTAGCTTTGTCACGTTTCTTTTAAGAAAGTTAGCACTTTTACCTAAGTTAATGACGTCACACATCAACGCTTTATATTCCATTCACGTACATAATAGTCCTCGCTGATATACGAGGTTGTTTTATTTCTAAAATATTGATGTGTGCAGTTACAAATTTTAACATATAAAAACATGTTTTGTAATACAATAAACTTTTATGTGCTATCTTTTCTATCACATTAAAAATGCTAGTGATGGAGAAAATCTATCGATGAAATTAATGTCTACATTATATCGATAACTATAGATAATATCGACAATTATCGACAACTACCGATTACTATCAACAACGATTGTCAACAATGCTTATAGATAGTTATCGATAGAATAATTTAGTTACTAATTTTATCGGTAGATTTTCTACGTCACTAGAATTTTTAATTTGATAGAAAAGATCACACATAAATGTTTATCTTACTATCTTACTAATGTTATAAATGTGAAAGTTTAGATGGATGGATGTTTGTTAGAGTTTGTAGCCTAAACGGCTAAACAGATTTTGATGAAATTTAGCATAAATGTAGAGAAAAGTCTGGAAGAACACGTAGGCTATTCACTTTGGTTTTTTCAATTCCACGCGGACGAAGTCGCGGACGAAAGCTAGTTGTATTATAAAATATGATTTTATGGTTAACTTTTTATCATCTTACGGCCGATTACTGAAACGATATTTATATATGATCTTAAATGATAAGCCCCGATTTATCAGACTTTAAGCAATGATAAGCGAAGTGTTTAACACTCGTTTCAGAATTCGGCTGCAACAGTACTGAAAGATATTACGTACACGGTAGTTGCAATTGGGTTTACGAGTAAAGTTAAAAATTAAAGATGAATAAGAACCCAAGGAGAATGTATGTTAACAAAGCACTCTTATCTGAGTGCAATTGTACTTGAGAACGTAATTTGAAAGGGTTTATGGTGAATGTATAACAGTAAAGAATAATTCACTTTAGATTGCAATTGAATATTTTCAAAATAATCTTTTAATTTTTCTAACAAATGTATATCAACAATTCAACAGAAAATATATCAGTACTAGTTTTTGATCGCGACGTCCGCGTGAAATCGATACTAATATTATAAAGAGGAAAGATTTGTATTTTTTTATGTGTTGGAATAACTCAAAAACTACTGGGCCAATTTTAAAATTTCACCATTAGAAAGGTAATTTATCTGTGAGTGACATAGGCTACTTTTTTATTTTTAGATAACACGCGAGCGAAGTCGCGGGCAACAGCTAGTAAAAAATAAACTCATTAAATTGCCTATGTGTTATTCCAGACTTTGTTCTACATCTGTGCTGAATTTAATTTAAATTTTCGCATTTATAATAATATAGCAAGGCGTAAAATTTCAAGACATTTTTGTAAATCCAAACTAAGGATACTACTACACTCTTTTAGTACAATGTTAGAGGCAAAATAATAAAAAAAGGTACCTAAAAACTTAAATTCATTATTGTTTTGATTTAATTAACAAAAAGGTGATCGTAAACATTCTGACAGACAAAAAGCCATATAACATATATCAAATGGAGACTGTTATTATTTTGAAAAGCTGTAAACACGGTTTACATACAAACAAAAGCATTGCAGTTGTTATTCATTCTACTACCCTCGTTACTGCAAGCGCAGTCGAGGAAAGCTAATAAACGCACTCGAGCTTTCTGACCATAGACCAACGAAGACCAGAGGTGACATCCCCATATTATATGTAAAAATTTAAAAGGTTACTTCAAACATATCGTGTTACTAAAACTATAAAATTTATTAAATAAAGGAACTTAAATAAAATATTTTTATCTGAAATTATTAGCACCATGTTTTGAATTTATCTTTTGCCCGCGACTCCGTCGGCGCGAAATTAATAAAAACAAAGTAACTAAATAGTTCATGTGTTCTTCCAAACAATGCTCTATATCTTTGTCAAATTTCATCGAGATCCGTTAAGCAATTTAGACTTCAACTCTAATAAACATCCATCTAAACTTTTGCATTTACAATATTATTCAGATTGTTATCCTGCATAATTTTTATGTTGGAGGCAGTCGCAAATGCATCGTCAAAGAACGACTTCTCTATCATTCATAGCTCTGTGAGTTTTCGATATGACACATATGTTGTAGTAACCGTTTGATTTTACATTACATATCGTATTGTTTTGTTTGTATTGCATTTGTTTTAGATAATAATGCACAGTTTAATCAATCTTAGAGCGGGCGCACTTCTTTGACTAAGCGCTATCGCACAAATTTTGCGCGTTTGTCGATTGTTTCGCAGTCAACTGTTTAGTTGCACAACTAAAAATCGAGTAGTGTACACACCTCCATATAAACTCGTAGGATTCAAAGCGGGACATAGTTGTGCGATACTTTAGTTTCATGTGTGCGCACGCTCTAACAGTTTTGGTTACTAAAACTCATTACTTCAAATACATATGTTTTCTATCGGTTATTTCATCGATCTATATAAAAGATATGTGTTTTTTTTTTATTTTCAGAAGGTAAACGAGCTAGCGACCACCTGAAATCGCTTAAAACGGCGAACCTACCACTGTCTATAGTCATCCACAATTACAGAGGCGTTGTCCATTAATTGACGGAGGTAGAGATGCACATAATCCACCATCAGTTCACTATCCGTTTCTTTGCAAGAAAAGGATGAGAAGAAAGGTACTAAAATTAAGCCTCCGGCACGCACAACCATCACACGAAACGCGGATTTGCTCCCACTTCACGTCTGTCTTCTTTGTGGTCGTGGTATTGCACCAAGAGAGCCTATTCACGCTAAGTTAAAGCGGACTCTACCACTGTTAAATGCTAACGTATAATTTTCACTCCAGCAAGTATTTCAATCCTTTGTTATACGTATTACATGCAAAGGATTCTCCTTTGTTCGTGTGAGATACGTTTACTAGGAAAGGGCGGAGACTAACAGACCATCCGTTGGTAAAATGGAAACGAGCAAATTGAATTGAGTCATTTTCATTATATATTCTCCAAAATACATGTAATATGCTCGACGTTATGTAACTAATCTCGTTTATTTAATTATTTACTTCTGTATTTCTATAAACACTTTATGGAGAATTTTTAAGTATGACATAATATTTTCCGTGATATTTTCTGGAACGTTTACAATCATTTTATTGAATCTATAGCAAAATATAGTTATTTCCCGATGTTCTACTTACATATCTATACTATTGTTATTATAATAAAGACCTACGTATCTATACTTCTATACTATTATAATAAAGCGTAAACACACACTTCTTTGTTGTCTAAGATGTCAGCAATTACACCATATTTTTGAATAATTCTTTTTTTAATAAAAACCCCCACACTTGCGTCACGCATTAGGCTATTTTAACGCCATTAAACTTAGAGGTAAATATTTTGGATAAAAACCCCAATGTGGGAAAGAGACCATATGTTGCTGCCAACATCAAGGAAGCAAGGTTGTCATCATGTCATGTCATGACATTTATAATTGATAATTTGACACTTGTAAACAATAAAATAAAATTTTCATAATTTCACGCGGATGAAGTCGCACGGGAACAGCTAGTATGGATTAAAATGGTTTTTTTTTATAAAAGCAATTTTAGTTATTACTTATGTGTTTGGTATTGCCAACCAACTACAAAGACTAGAAGGAAACTGACAAATTCTACAACATTGTTGTTCATAAAATGTTCTCTGTCTAAACATATAACTTAATCCACAGTACACAAACTCGTATTAATTTAGTTACATAGCGGAATGTTGGTTCAACACAACTAAGTTAAATTGAATCGGAGTTGAACCTCCACTGAGCGGGTTATCGAGCCTCGGTTCAACTAACTCACAAATACTTGGGACGCTTACTTCACTGGAGTGGCTTTGATAACTTGTCGACTGTAACTTCGTAAACTGATTTGCTGTTGTTATATCAAAGCCAATATTGATTGATTAACTTACGACCTCATGGTTGTTTAACTGTTCGGCTTATTCAAGTAATTCCCAAAAACATGTAATAAAAAACAAAAAATGACGAGTAGTTGCTATCTGTGACAATCAGATGAAAAAACATCATATCCCCTATCTTATCCTACTCTCATAGAGTCGGCGTAACAAATTTTCGTCCTCCAAATAACTCTATCATCCTTCATCTCAGTCATCACACCCTTCATCACATCACCTTTCACACAATCCATTTATTTCTAGGTCTACCTCTACCGCTGTACCACTCTCAGGTAAAGAATAAATATTGAAAATTGGTTCAGTCGCGTAAAATACGAGCGGTTATTAGGGTAAAATGAAACTCAAAATTGATGAACTTGTTTAGTTTTACTTAATTACGTATTTTATTTTTAACTTATTAACAACTTAACACTTACATAGCTAAAATTAATTAATATGATAACTAGCAAGGAATACTTGCGAGTAAAATAGAATAATAGCCTGGCATAATGAACTAAATACTTGCGTTAGTTACTGGCATGACAGTGACCATTTACACATGCTAGTAGCTATCACGTGCAAGTCACTTGCAACGCATGAATTTGTTATAGACATGTGTGATACCGCCTTAATAAAAATAACAGCCTGAAATAGATCTTATTTTAAAGATGTGAGATTACAGAAAATGACAGTAAGAAAGAGAAATAAAAGTAGGTTTAAAGCAAATACGAAATCGATGAGTTATTTACAATATGAACAACAACTTAGAAACTAACATTTGAAATGTACAACAGTTTTAATAACTAATTATATATTTATTTCTTTCGCCTCAATAAAGCTTCTTGAATTTGATCATTAGTTAGACCCTTAGTTTCAGGTAACAGGAAGATTCCGACCAAGCTGTTGATGGTGGCGAAGATCGCAAACACGTAGAAGGAGCCGTGGATGCCGAAGTACTTGATGAGGAAGGGGAAGATGGCCACGATGAAGAAGTTGAGAAGCCACACCCACTCCATGAGGAGAGTGGACGCGAGACTTTGTACCTGAAAATTAAATTATTTACTTTAAACATTTTAAAAAATATAAGATAGTATGCACGTAAGTTATGACTGTGGTACAGCGGTAGAGTTAGTCTTTAAAAGAGATGGATAGATTGATTGAAAGGTGACATGGTCAAGAAGGGAGTGATGACTGAGATGACGTATGATAGAGTTAGTTGGAGGAATTTAAACTGTTACGCCGACTCTACGACAGTAGGATAAGGTAAGAAAGTTGATGAGATGAATAAATGATACAGAATCTTTAAAAAACTACAAAGAGTAATTTTTAAAAATACTTATGAAGGTACTGTTAAAATAAAAAAATATATATATCCTCTTTCGTGTTTAACTAAACTGTGAAAAGGTTGACAGTACATAGCGTAAACCACAACTGGGGTTTGAAGAGTCATAGTTACTCACATCAGGTACGAAGCACTCAGAGAGGAGGACGTAGGGCACGCTGCCAGCTCCGAACATAAAGAAGAAGCAGTAGACGAGGATGAGAAGCGCGGGCACCCAGGCCGGCACCACGCCCGTCTGCAGGAACGCTCCCATCACGCATAGGCATAGCGCCACGCTCGACGACGATATTATTATCAAAATCTGTTAAAAAAAAGTTAAAAAACAAATTAATCAATATTAATAACAACTCCCAAAATAATAGGAACTACTTTTCAAAGCAAATACTAAGGTAAATTGGGTTTTGAACCAAATTCTGTCGCAATCTTCGAGCTCAGTTTAAAATTTAAAAGATATTAGTAAAAATCTAATATTCTAACATAAAGACAAGACTTTCAAGACAAAAAAAATTAATAGTCTTGAATTTACATCACACTGTATCGTAGTACAAGTGCTTAATGGATTCAATACCTTTCTGCCGAACTTGTCAGTAGCTACGAGACTGAACAGGCTTCCAAGGAGGACGACGAGCGCGAAGATGACAGAGCAGAGATGCGAGGAGAGCGAGGGAGCGGCCTGCGTGAAGATCTGCTTAGCATACACCTGCACTGCCACCAGACCCATCATCACCTGAGAAAGATCATAGAAGTGAGACAGAAGTTAGACAGAAGATAGACTAATTTAAATACAATTTTATAACTAAAAGATGTAACAGGGTAATGTTGGAGTATTTTACATGAATATTCAATATCTTCTTATTGAAACAAACAAGTATAATACGAGTATAAGAACAATAATACTTACTTGCACAGACAACAATAAGCCGACCACAATGAAACCCCGACGTGATGACGGTGACCGATCTGAAACAATTGATGTAAATAAATTCACATTATAATATAGTAAATGAAATTCTTTTATTTTAACAGTGGTGGAGTTCGCTTTAACATCTTAGCACTGTTGGGCCGGCTGGCCCCTAGTAATACCACGACCTCACACAAGACAGGCGTAAAGTGGAAGCAATTCCGCGTTTCGTCTGATGAGTGTAGTGCTGGAGGCCTAATTTTAGTCCCTTTCCCTTTCCACCCTTTTTTTAAAAGGAGAGGATTGAAAGGAAAAGGGAATTTGACGATGGAGGAGACGCATAGGAAGAGGAAATGTCCTTTTTATGTGCGTCTTCTCCGTCAATGAATGGTAGACAACGCATCAGCAATTGCGGATGTTAATGGGCAGCGGTCGCTTTCCATTTCGGTGGATTCAGGTGCCCGCTTGCTCGTTTGCTACCTTATATTATAAAATTACATAAAAGTAGAGAAACCTCCTTTATTTTAGCATTAATTGTCTAGACGACGAAGACATAACTTACATAACATTTTAATAGCAGAGGGTTTAGTCTGCACGTTCGGGATGTCGTCTTCTATGTTCAGTTTCTCTTTTTCTGCTTCGTCCGCCTTTGTCGTTTCCTCTAAAACAAATTATTGAAATTATACGTTTTTTTACATAATAATAAGTTTAGCATGATTTTTTGTGAATTTTCTTATAAAGTACTTGATACTTACATATCTATGAAAATAAATAGCAATGTATTTAACGTACTAACCTGTATTTAACGGCTGCAGTTCGACAGCAGGCGTCAGTAGTTGTTTAAGGCGAGACACCTCCTCCAACACCACTTTGGACCCCGGAGACTCGCCTCTATAGTGAGCGATTGCCAACTTTGCATCCTAAAATTTTATTATACTTTTAACCTTTCGTGCCCGTATTTTATAGTGAATTTTCAACTTGATTGTGGTTAAAACATTTTTATTATTCTTACAAGAACTTACCTCTTCTCTGTTCTGTCGCATCAAGAAGACAGGACTCTCAGTGATAGTCATCAGCATGGCCAGGTTGAGGATGCTGAGCGCCAGGTTCACCCACAGGACGTATCGGTAGGAGAGGCACCAGCCCAGGATGTACGACAATTGGAGACCCATGCAGTAACACGCCATTGGCACTAAAAGTATATATTATCTAAAGAATATGTCGAATGTAGAGATTCCCAAACGTTTTTGTCCTAGATCCCTTTCAATTACTTGTTAAGATCCCTTGCTGGCTACATTTCTTATTATAGTCAATTTTATTTCATGCCGAGTCTTCCCTATTTCCTAAAGGGTCCTATAGACTTTACGAATTACTGAAAACTTTACTCAAAAGTCTATTTTTATTTATTTATTTATTAATTTAACAAAGTACCTGATGCAAGCGTCCCTCTGATGGATTCCTCGGCGACTTCTGATATAAACATTGGTGCGTAGACGAGCACCGCGCCGCAGCCGATGCCTCCGATGAACCTCGCGATCAAGATCATCAAAGTCGATGAAGACATATCTATGATCAGCCACGATAGCTGCCGGAAAGAATAAAATAAATGAGGGATAAAAGTTGAAAAGTTTTAGCTATTTGACAATAGATGGCGCTGTTGCTAAATTTTTTTTAGCGTGTTATTTGAGTTAAATTTGAATCCGAATACCCATTTTATCATCTTTCGTTCCTTTATTTATATCCCAGGTATAAAAAGATAATTACCACAAACGGCAGAGCTAATAGCATGCCGCCTTTCTGTCTTCCCAAGTTGCTTATCACGATGCCCACTAACGCAGTCCCCAGCATAGCTCCCAGCGACGGCAAGCTGCCTAGCAATGAACTCTCCGTGTCAGCCATAGGTGTCACTAGCAGTTTTGTGTCGTTCGCTGTATACAGGCCCATTGTGTATGAAGGCCATACGTACAGCGAACCCGTAAGGATTGATGATAGCGAACCTGGGAAATAGTTACTCATGTACTTTAAACTCTAAATCGATCCTGTAGTGTCTTATAAATACGTTACAATATTATTTTAACGAATTTCAATGAAAAAAAGTTAAGATTATTATGAGGATTCGATCAAATTAATCGCCGCATGGCCATAGCTACGCCATCTGTGATTAAAACCGCTCCCTAAATTACCATCCGATGAAGAAAGCCATTAAACGCAAATTTCTATAAAACTGAACATCTTTGTGTAGTTTTCATATTTTTATCTTCTTATTTAAATTATTAAAAAGAATAAATAAAGGTGGAAAATATTGTCTTTGAATTACGTAATGTTATTTAAATGTTTAAATAGACAAATAAAGACATATTTCTATTTGATATGACTGGTGATTTATGAGATGTTTGATAAGATCTTGATGTGCATATTATTATTTGCTGCCAGTGATAGCAAATAATATGAAAAGTCATTCTGAATATAAGGTATTGTATGCCTCCTATATTTTACACAATTACCAATTCATAAAATACCGACAATGAATCCAAATTAGATAAGCGCCATCTATTGCTTAGGTTAAGAAATAAATTATTGAAATTAGCTTTTTACAGACAATTACAATTTTTTTTTACTAATTAATTTGAATTGCCTTGTATTTTGCAGTTTAATTTAGATTCGTATTTAAAGTGAAACATTTATCATATTAATTAATTTTGTAATGAAAATATTCAACTTTTTAATTTTAGGTTTAACGAATGGGATTAAACCATAACAAAATAAAGTACTCTTAAGATAAATAGCAAAAGTCACTCAATATAAGATAACTAGCTTACGCCCGCGACTCCGTCCGCGTGGAATAAAAAAAACAAAAGTGAGAAGCATATGTGTTCTTCCAGATTATCCTCTACATCTGTGCCAAATTTCATCGAAATCCGTTCAGCCGTTTAAGCTTCAAACAAACATCCATCTATCTAAACTTTCGTATTTATAATATTAGTTAGATTAAATATAATGCCCAGTATAAATAATTCGATAAGAAATAAACATTAACATTTTATCTCACAAACATTAGTATGTGCGTAAAATCCAGGTCTGGTGACTAATTTATCAGAAACCACTCACGCGACTAAGTACTATCGAAAAACAAAACATGATACTATCTGACGGATAAATATCAATCAGTCAATATTCAATATGATACGTTTGATAACAAATCATTTTTTGATAAAATAACGGTCAATTTGTTATATCTTTGATCTCCTGTCGTTTAGGACGCGTATTTCCAAGGTTAATGTTTTGTTTTGAAATTGCGCAAGGTTTTTTTACGTAGTTACTAACTGAAAAGAAGCTTATCATGTTCGTATACCGATTTCAGTGACTAAAACAACTTAAGACATACTATCGTCAGGCGATTATCGAAGAGGTTAGGAAAAAAAATGTTTTTTTTATTACAAAGAAAATGCTTGTTCATTTATGGTCGAATTTTCTTTTCGAAAAATAAATCTTTTTTGTTATCTGTAGGTCTGTATGGATTATAGACACCTTAGCATTTTTAAATAATTCATAAATTTATTTTACTACTTTGAACTCCCTACTATAGGCAACTGCCAACTCTACCTCTCTACTAACATGTATAACATGTTAAGATGTATGACATATTACGCCATCTACATAATTAAAAAAGAAACTAGCCGGTCAAATTTGGCTATTCATATAATAACTGTTTTTTTTTAATTCACTTATTTTAATCATTAAAAGATTAATTACAATGTAATTACAGGAATTATTTTTAACCAGCTTTCACCAGCGACTCCGTCCGCGTAGAATTAAAAAAAAAAACAAAAGTTAGTAGCCCGTTTTCCAGACTATCCTCTACATTAATGCCAAATTTCATCGAAATCTGTTCATCCGTTTAGGCTACAAATTCTAATAAACATCCATCCATCTAAACTTTCGCATTTATAATATTAGTAAGTATGATAATACCCGTGGCACTAAATGCATTGCCAACCTTTGAGAATAGTAAGTTTGCTTTTCGAAGTAATTGACATAGTAATTCTTGTCACGTTTGCTAATCTTAAATCAATAATGATTAAGGTATCTGTTTCATTGAGTGCGACCTGATTGTAAGGACATCATTCTTTGACAGATAATTCTTAATTGAATCAATAAATGATAAGGATTAATGAATCTCTGCCGCGCCCCCTTTTGTCTTATTTATTAAACCTCCTTTAACTAGCGCGACTAACCATGAATTGACCAAACAACCTTATTTCCAGTTAATTATAAGGAACCAGCTGTAGCTTGCGATATAGGATTTTTCCTAACCGCTCCCCGCTCTGTCTCCTCTTGGGAACAGATGAGAATAAAAAGTCTCATTCCTGCCTTTTGCAAGAAGGGGACGGTTAGAACTTATTTTTTCATAACAGTTTCACCTGTCGCCTTATTGGTGATAGGGACTAAAGGTGGGACGGTTGAAACTTTTTATCCTCACGATGGGACACAGCGGGGTGTCGGTTGGGAATGTTCCGCGAGTTCGTCCCCGTGAAATTAAAATGATATTAAAACATTAGTACACATGAGTATTTTTAATATTACTGCGTAACACATTTTAAAGGCCATAAGAAAAATTAATTTTAAATGTACAATTTCTTGAATAATAAATAATAATAAAATAACATGACAAATTAAATATAAAAGTACGTGTTCGCATTTATAGTGAATTTAAGTGCTGTATATTTTAAACAAGAATATAATAAATATTCAGATTAAAAGCATAAAGCGCAGCGAAACTAAAAAAATATATATTTTTAAAGTAAAAAAAATATTTTAGCTGTGGCTCGTTACTTCGCCTACGTGGAATGAAAAACTGTCAAAATTTTGGCCGTATAGCCAATATTACTCACAGATAAATCACCTTTCTAATAGTAAAAGAATTTTTAAAATTGGCTCAGTAATTTTTACGTGAATCGAATATATACAAAAATACAAATCTTTCCTTTTTATAATATTAGTATAGATAATTGGCTATTATAATACAAGAGTCTGTTGGAACTTTGGTTCGCATTATATCAAAAAACCAAAAAATCGACGAAACTTACGAGTAAAGGAGAGTTATGTACAAATAAGACAAACCGAGGTTTTAAAATTTAATTTATTGCAAAAATTAAATAAGTTAACACCAAGGCCACGGATGGACATGGTCTAGGAAATTTCTCCACGTTTTATTTTTCCACTTTTGTCCTATTTTTTTAGCTTTCAACAAAAAAAGTACAGACTACGTATAAAAAAAGTAAACGAGATAATAAAAGTATTTTTCTTTTTAATTTTAAATCAACGCTCCGTTTCAATTATATTGGAAGCTCGTTCACTTGCCATTTCCACCATCAAAAAACTTATCTTTTTTCTTAAACTCCTGTATTTTTAAATTAATAAATGGGAAAGCAAAACACATGTATTGCCAATTAGTAAAAAAAAGTTTGCGGAAACATCTTTCCAGTTAAAACTCGAGTTAAGAATTCGAAAAAAAAAATTATTTAAAATAACATTTAAAAAAAAATCAGTTGAAAAAAAAAACATATTTAATTTACAAAGAACTCTATAAACACAAAAAATAATTCATTCATAAATTACAACTTACATGATATAGCAGTGTGCACTTGATGAATTTTGCCCATTTTTCTCTAATTTTCAGAACACTCAGAACGAGCGCCGCTCAACACTCAACACAACAATGAGCAGAACTCGGTCGCAGTTGCGTTTGCGCAGAATCACTGAAATTACATTCCCAAATCAAATATTTTAGTAACAAGATAACAATCCTCTGACAACTTTATCTACAAACGATATCGTTTGATAAAAAAATGATTATTTAAAATAGTTCTTACCGATAAAACATTCTCGAACAACAGAAATAGAAAGGAAAATCGTATAGTAAAGAAAAACTCACTTGAGATAAATAAAAATGCGTAAAAGCATTATCGAAGTTATCTTATCATAAATTATTTTACACATGTGGTAGCATTTCAGTTTGTAAGTCTGTAGTCACATGGATAGATTATGGATGATAATTCTCTCCTTCGATATCTCTTAATCGAACAAGTACCTTGATAGCTTGATAATAGGGCCAATCAATTGCTTAGCAACTAGTCAAGTATCGCAAAACTTTTATCTACTCTATATTATTTTAGGACCAGGCTCACTTTGACTAAACTCTCGCAACTGTTTTGCGATTGTCGATTGTTTCGCAGCCTTCAACTGTTTAGTTGCACTAAAAATTGAGTAGTGTGCACTTCCATATAACCTCCTTCCATAAAACAGTGGTAGTGCCCGCTTTAACATCTTAGCACGAATGGGCCGGCACGCCCGGTGTAATACCACGACCACACAGAAGACTGGCGTGAAATGGAAGCAATTCCTTGTTTCGTCTGATGAGTGTGGTGCCGGAGGCCTAATATAAGTCCCTTCCTCTTTACCACGCTTTTCTTATAAGGAGAGGTTAGGAAGCGGAAGTGGATTTGACGGTGGATGAGATGCATAGGAAGAGGAAATGTCCTCTTTATGTGCGTCTTCTCCACCGTCGTATAATGGTAGGCAACGCATCTGCAATTGCGGATGTCTATGAGCAGTGGTCGCTTCGTCATTTTGGCGTATTCAGGTGGCCGCTTGCTCGTTTGCCACCTTATGTTATAAAAAAAAACTCATAGAAATCAAAGCGCGACTAAACAGTTGTGCGATAGTTTAGGAATTAAAGTTTGAGTTACTAGCTTTCGCCCGCGACTCCGTCCGAGTGGTATTAAAGAAACAAAAGTAAGTAGTCTATGTGTTCTTCCAGGCTATCTACATCTATGCTAAATGTCATCGAAATCCATTCAATCGTTTAGACTACAAACTAACAAACATCCATCCATCTACACTTTTGCATTTATAATATTAGTAAGAGTGAGAACTTTTACACTTCTCCGTCTAGATCTATTTTTTTTAATAGTATCATCAATTGTATTCGTAATTAAAAAGTAATAAATTGGTTAATTGTTTTTTTTTTGTATTGTCATTAAAATTATTGATAACTTAATTTCAACTAAGTGATTCAATGAAAAATATTTCACAATAATTTATACAAACCTACGTAATGCAATCTGATGTGAAGATGTCATAAATAGTCGATTCACGGTCACCTGATGACCGGTGAATGATATCGACTGTAATCATGTATTCTATCGTACGCCTTTCATTCATTCAGTGAAAATTCATATGAGAAATATATACTAGCCCTTGCTCGTGACTTTCCAAGCGGACTTGAAGAAAAAACTTAATATGTGTCTATGCCATTTTTTTTTTAAATATACTATTAGCCCTTTTGAGATTACTTACTAGCAAACATCAATATATCTTGCCTTTCGCGTTGTAAGCCGTTGGTCAGTCACCAATTGCTTTATTTAAATATACAAAAAACTAGGTTTTGCCCGCGACTCCGTCTTCGTAAAATTAAAAAAAATATGGCCTATGTGTTCTTCCAGACTATCCTCTATGTGTATGCCAGATTTCATTGAAATCCGTTCAGCAGTTTAGGCTACAAACTCTAACAAACATCCATCTAAACTTTCGCATTCTTTGTATAAATAAGAAGTAATATTATGTTTTCATTTCAATCTATTTATATTTACAGCAATATTCTTTTATACAACAAAGAGTCATAAAATATAGAGATTTTAAAGCAGTTTAAACTGAAATATAATAAAAAAATAAAACGAAATTACACAAAGAAATTTTCCAAGAAGCATAATTAATATTTGTTTTTCTAAATACTTCTGATCACACAATCTAAATGCAAACGCAAATTGTATAATATAATTAGCAAAGAAAGTTTACTTTACAATATATCACAAAGATAGCTCTTTCAGTCTGTTATTTACGTCATTACCTACCTTATCTTAAAGGAGGCACAATCCTCAATATTTTCAGTCAATTAACTCATGCACTTTAAAGGATCAACAAATATCTAAAACAATGAGACATGTTTCGTCGTCAGCTAAGCTAAGTCTAGGGAGAAACGCTACCTTTGCCTTGAGAGGCATTCTGTCTGTCCGAAAGCCGAGTTTGTTCCGGGACACCGAAACGTCTTTGCCGATTTTGACAGGATTTTCACTGGAGGGTAGCTAACATAGACGGGCATATTATAAGAATAGGCTACTTTTTTTAATTCCGTGCTGTCAAAATGACAAATGGGTCAGGACGTTTTGATGGGACTTTGACTGGAAAGTATGGTAGTAGATGCACGCGGGAATGCTTTAGACATTTTTTAATGAAGTTTGCGGGCAACAGTTCGTAAATAGAATCATAGGTAGCATTTATATCTTCGCATCAAATACTACCAATCTAAGGATCGAAATAGTAATCAACACGATCTATCGTTTAAAGCTTTAGAGGGTGAACGACTCTATGCACCCCGTCTTAAGCAAAGTAATTTCAACATTCTTAATTTGAATTTTATAGGCTCAACTCATGATTTTATCCTCCGGTGACGGCACCGACTAGTTTCAGACCCTTCGGGGGTCCTTCTTCAGGACGAGTGTTAGTTAGCTTTTGTTCGCGGTCACGTCGCGCCTCGCACAGTGTTTAAAACTAGTCGGTGCCGTCACCGGAGGATGAAAACGTGAGTCCAGCCGTTTTTTAATTTTCGTTTAAAGTTTAATTGAAGTCCATATACGATCGAGGATCACTTAAGTTAAACGGTAATAAACATATCTATTATGTGTTTATTACAATAACTAAGTTTTTTATTCTCAATGAGGTTATTCACTATCATTGTTGAATATCTCTGTTAACAGATAAAATGATTTACAATGCATTAGTTATGTAGAATAAATAGTAACTAAGTCTCGTGAAACGTTATCTTGATGTTTCAGGTGCGGTTTGAATCTGTATCTAACAGAGACCACGGTGACTTGTGACGTTTTCGTCTGTTTGCTTATAGCTTAAGAAATAAAAACTATTATTACTATTGAAGCGCTCATAGCTTGCTGTCAAGAGATTACCAGACACCTGATCGAATGTTCGAGTCCAGGCGTAAGACTGTAGTAATAAAAGGTAGGAATTACGAGTAGTTTGGAATTATACGGGAAATATTAACGAATACATAAAATTCTGCTTATATTAAATTCCAGAAAAAACGGCATTTCTTCTATTATTATTTAATAAACTTAAATAATTTAATATTAGTATGTTTAGATGGATGTTTGTTTGAATTTGTAGCCTAAACAAACTGAACGGTTCTCGATTAAATTTGGCTTATAGTATAGTCTGAAAGAACACATAGGTTACTTATTTTTGTTTTCTTTTATTTCCACGCGGATGGAGTCTCGGGTAAAAGCTAGTGTTAAATATATAGAGCAAGCTGTGAGTCGAGACTTCGTTAGTTGTAAAAAAAACTCTGTGGGAGATGCGAAGTTATTTGTTTAAAAGCAATGAAAGTCGCTTAACTGTTGTTCGATTGTCGATTGTTTTGCAGCCAATTTAACTGTTTATTTGCACAGCTAAAGATAGAGTAGTGCATCTAATAATAATTTCATAGGAATCAAAGCGAGACTAAAAAATTGTGCGATAGTTTAGTTTAAAGTGTGCGCATGTTTTTATATTTGTACCATATTTCATGCAAATCCAGTTTTAGAGTTATCTAGTATCAAATATAGACTTTGGTTAAATTGAAAAAAGATAAAAGCTATAGGTCCTCCGTTTATCAGACTGGAATCTAATCGTTCTGTTTTGTTTTATTTATGCCCAGAAGTTTGTTTATTTTATTTAACTAGTATTTTTCAACATAACAAGACTCCTTCCTACAAACCCTGAACTAGTAAAGGACGTTAATGTTTGCTAGAGATTACAGTTTTCTTGTTCAAAGTACAATTCACCCTTGAATTGAAAGATAATATTTTAAAAAATCACAGTCTTCATCAGTAATAATATAACTAAAATAAAAGAATAAACTCTGAAACTACTTACGGAACCGATTTAAATTCTTTACTTAGCTACTCTATGAGCGCGTGACATCTTACTTCTATACTAAAATTATAAAGAGGAAAAATTAGTATCTTTGTATGTATTCGATTCACGTAAAAACTACTGGGCCGATTTTAAAAATTCTTTCGCCATTAGAAAAGTAATTTATCTGTGAGAAACATAGGCTATATGGCTAACGTTATTTTTTTATTTTCACGCGGACGAAGTCGCAAGAAACATCTAGTATTATTATAAATACGAATGTTTAGTTTATAAGTTTAAAGCGGTTGCTCGCGACTTCGTCCACGTGAAATTTAAACTGTACATATTCATCGATAACATAGCTTTTTAATGGTAAAAGAATTTTTGAAATCGGTCCAGTAGTTATTGAGTTATTTCAATACATACAAAAATATAAATCGTTTTTATTTATAATACTAGTAAAGATGTCATTTTCGTTGATTTTCTATAGTACGTCAAATCGGTTAATTTGCTTATGCTAAAAACTATATTATATAATTATTATAAATGCAAAAGTTACGATGGATGGATGGATGTTTGTTAGCGTTTGTAGCTTAAACGGTTGATCGGATCTCCATGAAATTTGTCACAGGTTTGGAGCATAGTCTGGAAGAACACAGAGAACATCGCGGGAATAGTTACGGTTCCCGTGGGATTCATTGATTTTTTTTTTATTACTCGATCATTCTGCAACGATTCAACACATTTTATTGAAATTTGGCACATATATAAAACAAAGTCTGGAGTACACATGGAATAAGGTTCATCCCCGAGAAATGTCCGATTCCCGAGTGATACGTAGCTTCTTGTTATTTATATAGTTCGTATGTTTTCTAATACCACGAGGACGAAGTCGCGGGCAACAGCTAGTACAAACATATATACGTATAAAAAAGTAATAAAAAATATTGGAAAAAGCCGAGTTAGCGCAATTTGTTTTTACGCAATCATAATTGATGTTAATTGCCTAGCCCTTTGGTTTCAATTGAAAGTGTTTTTTTATTTATGTTTTAAATAGCCTTTTAACGATATAGTTTATATAGTTAAAAAACATACTTAAACAAAAATATTCCATTAAGTAACCGGTTATGTAAAATCATTATTTTTTCATTGATCATCTTGTTTTATTTAGAAAAAAACCGGAAAACCGTGTTATTAGATTAAATTCGAACGGCCTCGAGGTTCAGTGGTTACTGTAACAGACCTTTTTATTATAGATTTTATGTAATTTCTATATAACATTTTCTTAACCCTTAAATCCCTGATTTGATACCGGCGTTATTATTGTAAGTGTACAATCGATTTTATTCTTAATATTTAAAAAGGGAGTCACGAAAATGTTGCTTACTTTGAAGATATGAATTTCTCGACAAACAAATTAAAAAGACACATAATACTTTCATTTTTATTCTATTTTTCCCCATTAGTAAACACAGTAAAGATCACACTTGTATTTTTTTTTTCATTTTATTTAAAAACCAGGCTTTTAAGGATGAATTAAACCAACCTTACTTAAATACTAGTATTATTTTCTAGAGAATTCTAATTAATTATTAGTTTAAATTAGTGTAACAGTTAATTACTAACCTAATCTTACTAATTTTGTAAATGCGAAAGTTTGGATGTATGGATGTTTGTAAGAGTTTGTAGCCTAATCGGCTGAAAGGATCTCCATGAAATTCGGCGCAGACGTAGAGCATAATCTGGAAGAACATATATTATACTTTTTATCCCGAAAATAGTTACAGATCCCGTGGGATTCATTAATAACTATATAAATGCATGACTTGTATGGAAGGGTATTTGTTACATATCACCAAAACATTTTAACGGATCTTGATGAATAGCACAGATGTAGAACATAGTAAGAAAACATAGGCTTATAAAAGTTTTTAAATTTGGAACGAATTGGCGGGCAAAAAAAATATCAAAACAAAAGTCAAGTCATAAATTCTTAAATTTATTTAAAAAAAACGTAACGTTATTGGCTTTATCTGTGTTTAATTATCAATATTAAAATTAAATAAAACGCAATTACTTACCCGCACGTGTATAATAAAATTACAATCAGCAAACAACCATAATTAACTTTTTCCACACTTTTATATCAAAATAATACACATTTTTATAATTTTAACACTGACACTTTATTCATCATCCGTGTTCGAGTTCCATCATATAAATTAATAGAATCTTATATACGAGTTTAAATTATTCACAAATTGTATGGAAACGACGCGACAAGCGTATGTTTGGTGATAAAATATTATCGATTATTTAAATGAATCGTGTTTGCGTCGAATCAACAGAAATATAGACAGCGTACATATATCGGACTTTGTATTCATATATACTCAAAAATATAGTGTTGTTTTATCATCTAATCCTTTACGTTTTGGTTATTTACCTGTGTACCCTTTATATAACCTTTAGCCAAGTTAATTTAACATATACTCATTATAATTGTAAATTAATAATCTTAAAGCATCTTTTACTAAACGTGTGCAGACAATGAACGTAACCTTATTTATTTTTTACCGTAATATTATAGTTAACTAACGTATTACCAAGAAAGAAAGGAAATTATAATATATTCACTGAATCCTTAGAACATTGTTAAATGCTATCAATGTATCTTTGATTGATTCATTGTACAATAATTATTAAACTTAACAAAAAAAATTTCTTACAAAACTGTAGAAAGTGACATCTATTGTTCAATCTATGCTACTGATTTGTTAGCGCCATCTATTGCACAGTAGCAAAAAATTTACTTGTAAAAATTGAATTATTTTGTTTATTTTACACCTAATAATTAAAGAGGTAAAATAAAGATAAATTAAATTGAAGCTAAAATAATTGTATCCCGGTTGTTGATAAAAGTCTAATATATTTATTGGCTTTTGCTTAAACAAATTAAAATTGTTATCATCTAACAAATGATAATTCGAATTAAATTTTTATAACTATTGTAAAAGCGTCCGCTAACTTTTGACTAAACTACCGCACAACTATTTTACGATTGTCGTTTGTTTTGCAGCCAATTCAACTGTTTAGTTGCACAAATAATCGAGTGCACACTTCCATATAAGCCCATAGGAATCAAAGCGAGTTTGAACAGTTGTGCGATAGTTTAGTCAAACGTGTGCACGCGCTCTTCATGTTTAGATTAACATTAATTAATAGATTGAATATAATTTCCACTGTCAGTAGCAAGGTCAAATTGTTGATAAAACAATTTTTGCGATATCAATTGTTGGTAACCTGTTTATTTGCATATTAAAATGAAAACTTAATTATAAATACGATTAATTTCATTATAAAAAACTTAATGAATATAGATTTTATGCCATTAAACGTTACGATAGAAGAATAAGTGTTTAAATGAATTTTTCCTAATTAAATGGACGCGCCATCGCCATTATAGACAAAGAATCGTCACTATTTCCGGTTCCGCTTCAACCAAATCATGGAATAAATGAAAATAAAAACGACAAAAAAACCTTAAAATTTATTTAACCCTTTTCTTATCTCTACGTTCTTTTTTTAGGAATAATTTTTGTATAGCATCAGCCGGTAGCCCTTTAGTCTCAGGTAACCAGAAGTGGCTGTACGTAGCACCGAGGAGACAAATACAAGAGAAAACGTAGAACACTGGCCCGAGACCGAGCCAGTCGACTAATGGGTTGAAGATGATCAGAGTAACAAAGTTCATGATCCACATGCAGGCCATTGACATGCTGTTACCGAGACCACGTACCTGGAAAATTAAGCAGAATTTTAAATGGAAAACAAGGCAAACAATTTGATGAAAGCATTCAAAAATATCAGTAATTTACTAATTGAAGGGAAACTCGATTAAGTTTGATACAGTACAATATAACAATACAATTGTATCAACCAACACTGACTTTCAGAAGCATAAATAACGTAGATTCTAAGACCATTATTGCAGTACTGGAAACCTTGACTCACCTCTGGCAAGAAGACCTCAGCAGTCAACACAAACGGTACGATTGCTGCGCCGAAGTTATAAATGAAGCTGTAGGCGTATATGGTGGCCGCGGTGAGCCAGTGCGGCCCCCAGCGCACGTGTAACTGGCTGCCCAGCACCAAGTTGCACAGCGCCGAGCCAACTGACGTGATCGTCAATAGAGGCTGAAACACGAAGACAATAAGATTGCAGCA